ATTTGGAGTATGTGAAAACTGTCAAGTCGTGGCTTTCAAAATCGTTTGATATGAAAGATATGGATGAAGCAGACTATATATTGTGTGTTAAGATCCAAAGAGATCGTTCCAAGAAATTTTTGAGTTTATCTCAAGAAACTTATATAAAGAAAATATTAGAACGTTTTTCAAATGAATAGTTGCAAATCCATGGATACTCCTGTAGCAAGGGGTGAAACTTTAAGCCTTGAAATGTGTCCAAAGACTGAAAAAGAAAAGGAAGACATGTCTCGAGTTCCTTATTCTAGTGTTGTCGGGAGTTTGATGTATGTTATGATGTGTACTCGCCCAGACATTTGTTATGCCGTAAGTCTAGTTAGCAGGTATCAATCCAATCATGGAAAAGATCATTGGAAAGCAGTAAATAGAATATTCTGATACCTGAACGGAACTGCAGATCATACACTGTGTTATAGTGGATTTGATTTATTCATAAGAGGTTATACAGATGCAGATTGGGCTGGTGACCGAGATGATAGAAAATCAACATCTGGTTATGCTTTCTTACTAAATGGTGGTGCTATTTCATGGAAAAGTAAGAAGTAAACTTACACAACTCTTTCAACCATGGAATCTGAATTTGTGGCTTGTGCATCGTACAAGAAGTTGTTTGGTTAAAGAGATTCTTTGAGCATTTGAGTATTGCAAATGATTCTAAGGGTCCCATAATTCTATATTGTGATAGTCAAGCGGCTATCGCATACACAAAGGATCCTAAGTATCACAGTAAGACCAAACACATCGACATCAAGTATAACTTTGTGAGAGACGTAGTGGCAAGTGGAGAAATAACTTTGCAATACATTCCTACACGTGAAATGATAGCTGATCCTTTTACGAAGGCTATCTCTAGAGACTTGTTTGAAAAACATGTTAAGGCTCTAGGTTTGTGTAGAATATGATGATATTTCAGTATTGTAAAATAACTTGATTGTTATAATATTCTCTTTTATATAATACTATTGAATTTATATTCAAATATAATATGCATGTGATAATTTGTAACAAATAAAGTGTGTTGAACAAGTCGCGAGATTGGCTCTCACACGAGCAATCGCCTCTTACGTCGGAAAACATGAAGAGATGAGTTCCACCACCAAATTATGACTTGTTTTATGAGCCAGACAAAAGTTTCTCAAAGAAAATGAATTTAAGGATCACTTAAAAAGAGAAACTGGGGTTAAACATCTTGAGGTGTTTAGACTGAGGTTTGTACGATGTTGGTTAATCGAAAGAATGAGACACATACACTAATATAAGGTGAAAACATCGTAGCACGTGTTTCATACCATGTGTGTCAAGCGATCAATGGGTCAATGAAAGAATGATTCTCTACTTCTTCATTGTGTGAGACCCTGAAAAGTTAAAATGACTTTTCAATGAAATACCCTTTGACCTTTTTGTTGTTTCTTGAAGTTTCAATCAATGTTGCTACTTTAGCATGTTACTAATAGTTATGAATGATTCGGCAGTGCAATACATGTCTAAGAAAGCAGTTGAATTGAAATAGTTAGATTTGAGTAGATAGGAAAGACGATTAATTGATTAATAAACTTGTATACACAAGCCGGCTATTGCACTAAACATATAGAGTGTAATTGTGTGTATAAAGTTAAACATGAACTCGAGTTAACCTCTTTAAGAGGATGAGAGATCGAATAAGTAACTATTGAAGTAGTGAATGAAGTCTGGGGTATTGTGAGTAATGATGTACTTTTAATAATAATGAATTCTTTCCACATGTGATTGAATTCTGATGTAGGGCTTATAAAACCTTAATGGTAAGCTATTGATGCTCACAGGTCGCACGAACTATTTGTCGTATGAATTGTGTGTTTAGTTGATGTTGTGTTGGCTTGGGACTTGTCCACCATGTGCAAAGTGGGAGATGTAAGTTTTGGGTTTGGATCGCCTATGTGGATCGACTCGACCCAATCCAACCCAAGATTGTTTTTTTCTGAATAAAAAAAGAAAAAGAAAAAAGAAGATAAATATTAATTTTAAAAGGGGTGGAAACAGTTACTATTCTCTCCTTTTTAAATTAAGTTATTTTTTGTTTTTTTCTTGAACACTTTAGAAAGAAAAACAGGAAGAACAACAAAAACTCAAAAAAACTTAGATTAAAGACACAATAAAAAACATTTAGTTTGTGAAACACTATCTTTATTTCCTAGTGATTCAAAGAAGAATTTAAAGCAAATAATTCAGTTCGTAAATTTCATTCCGCTGCAACAATCAAAGGTACACAAATCTTGTACCAAACGTTGTTTAAATGCTATCAGGAGTAGTATAATATAGCAATCATACTTCATCAATTTACTATAAAAAGAAGATTCGAAATTATAGTATTTGTTTTTTTAAGAAAAATATTATTCCAGCAAAAGCAGTACGTGGCTAAGGAGGCAACCATAAACGTGGTGGGGACCACGTAAGACATGTGAGAACCACAAACGTGCCACGCGTCAACCACAGCTTGTACATTTGGTTAGGTGTCATGTGGATTTTTTTATTTTATTTTATTTTAATGAGAGCAGTGATAAGGTCACCGCAGTGACTTGAAGACAATATATTCTTTTTAACATTAAATTTATTTTATCGATCACTAAATCATATTCATAGGTCATGACTTTTTTTATATTTTGTATATGTATTTCGCATGGAACGAAAACTTTATAAGATAAAATATCTTTTTTGAGTTACCAATATAAGAAATCATTTCATCAATTTTTAGGGTATTCTAAATTTTTATGAGTGCACATATTTTAAAATATTATAAAGCTTTTGAAATTTTTTGATTAAAATAATTTGCATTCTGATCCTATTAAAATCACGTTCAAAATAATGACTCACCATGATCCAATATTTAATTTTTAGTCACCATGATTTAATATTTATTTTTTTATTTTTTATAATTTTTATTTCAATTAAGTATTACTCCCTCCGTTTCAAAAAGAATGACCTCATTTCCTTTTTAGTTTGTTTAAAAAAGAATGACCTCTTTTTTTTTGGTAACATTTTAATTTCAGTTTTCCACGTGGCATGTTTAAGACCACAAGATTAAAGAACAATTTTGTACATTTGACATAACTTTAATTTAGGACCACAAGATTCAAAAGTCTTCTTTATTTTTTTAAACTCCATGTCAAGTTAAACTAGTTCATTCTTTGTGAAACGGAGGGAGTAATATTATTCCAACAAATACTTATGAGAAGTCAAATTCATTTTTCACCATTTTTGACAAAAAAATTAATTATAATGAGGGCCACATAATATAAGTATCAAATACCGAGTGAAAATCAAAAAAAATATTCAGCCTTAACTTAATCCATTGTTCTCTCTTCCTTTGGATCATATTTCGAATAAATAAAAGAGAAAAAAAATTCCTTTTTTTATTGTTTGAATGACTTAAATATTTTGGAAAAAGTAGTAAATATTTTTCAAAACTCTCTTTCTACCTTACCACATGATAGGATTCAAGACTTAAGATTCGACCCTAACTTGAGACATGACTCCCAATCCTAATTCGGGATCCGACCCGAACTTGAATCAGGGTCAAGAGTCGGATCATTGGTCAAAGTTAGGTCTTGAGTCGGAGTCAAGAGTTGGATGTCAAGTCGAGGTCAAATCCCGAGACTCGAATCTTAGGTCGGGGTCAAAAGTAGGGTCGCGGGTTGAGTTTGGTGGTTTGGCTTTGATCGAGAATTGAGTTAGGGGAGAGATCAAGAGTCGAGGTCGGATCTTAGGTCTCGAGTTAGGATCGAAGTCAGGAATCAACTCCTAGGTTGAGGTTGAGAGTCGGATCGATCAAGTCGAGTTTAGGGGTGAAGGTTAGGAGTCTAGTTTGGGAGTTTGGTTTTGGGTTGGGGTTGAAAGTCAAGTCTTGGGTCAGTGTCTTGATCAGTCGGGTTGAGATTAAGAGTCGGGTCTCAAGGTCGAGGTTGGGCTCTTGGGTTGAGGTCGAGAGTTGGTTTCAGGAGAGGGTCAAGAGTCGGGTCCTAATTGGGGTCGATATTTAGGTTTCGGGTCAGGGTCGCGATCGACAGTCTAGTTTTGGGTCTTTGCCAAAGTCAGGAATCGAGGTCGTGACTTGAATCTCAACCTAACTTGGGAGTTGGGACCTGGCCCTCAAACCCAACTTGAGCATGAGACCCTCACTCGATCTTAACTTGGGATCAAACATTAACCCAAAACTCAATTTCTGACCTAGGATTTGACTTGAGATCCAATTCCGACCCTAGATCCAATCTTCACCCGACTTCTTACTTAATCTTCTGCTTTAGACCCTGACCCTAACTCTCAAACCTGGCCCCTACCCCAGATCTTACTCTCGACCTAGACCCCGATTTTTTATTATTGTATTTTTAGATCTGGTGTTACAGTAATTTTTTCGACTTATATCTAAATGCTCTTGGGAACATCGTCTTCTTACTTACCAAACACACGAGAAAGCAAGTAAGAAAATCACTTATTTTTCAAGAAAACATTTTCCTTCCTACCAAACACACCCCGAGTAATATCTTATTTTCTTAATAATATTTTTAAGGTATTTATATTTTGAGTTTTGACACTTTTTTTTCGTAAAATTTTATTTTATTTTTAGTTTAGTTAAAATGAAAAGCAGAAGAAAGAGGAAAAAGAAACCTATAATGTTTTGGACATGTATAGATGAGAGGTACATATTCTAGATCTTTCCACATGTGACTCAATCACATCAACTCTCTACCACTTTCATCTCTTTGCATCATCAATTTACGTACTCTAAAAATAATATCTCATTTTATACTTAATAATAATAATAATAATTTTGTCAAAAAGCTCATTGACTACTCAATTTTCCCCTTTTTTTCTACCCAAAATTCTAGGGCTTGTGTCTATTACCAATCACTAATCACTCCTCACTTCTCTCCTCTCTCATTCCTCCTACGTGCAGGTAAGTTTCTTGAATTGGGTATTTCCTATTTTCTTCAAATTATCATGATTTCAGCTTTTTCACGAAATGGGTATTGGATTTTCTTCAAAAAGATACAATCTTTATGTGTTTCTGTTGAAATCCATGTTTTATCTTTGTTGTTGTTGTTCTTGAAAATAGGGCAACTCTTATTTCTTGAAAAGTTACAATCTTTATGTGTTTTTGATATGATGTTGTTTCTGTATTCCCTCTTTGATTAAATGGATATTTCTGAATTCTTGAAAAAGGCAATATCTTTATGTATTTGATTATGGGATTGGTGTTAGAAGTTGTGGGTTTGGGTTTTTCTAATCCACTTGTGCTCATGATCTGTTGGGGATATTGGGTGTTTCAATCTTGAATTACTATAGTTGGAATAAAGAATAATTATAATTGCTCTTTGATAGATATTGTGCATGAAGAAGCTCTATATGAAAGCTTCTACGAGGGCACGAATTCTCGTTTGATTAGTTTCTCTTATTATTGAGTGTAGACAATTCTTGAATTTTGAGATGAGGTTGAGAGGATGTGTGATTTGTTGTGACAAGTTGAGACATGTGATAATTCTATCAATAGGGGTTACTAATTCTTTACTAGTTGCAAGCAGTGCTGTCAAAAGCAAAAAGCATAGAAAGTGGCAAAAGCTCGTTGGGGCTTTAATTGCAATTAAAGAGTGTTTAATAAAGATATGGGCAATGAAAAAAAAATTCCATAAACGCACAAGCACGAACATGTAATGCAAGAAAAAGTAACTAAATAAGTGAAATATGTCAAATAAAGCATGCAAAGTAAGTTCAAAACTATTACTTTGACAATTTATGTTACTTTGCCAAGATATAGATTGTCTAGTACCACTATTTTCTAGGTAGGGTTTGCTGATGATGAGGCACACCTTAGTGAATCAAACCTGCACTAAAAAGTGCTGCTCAAGTGAGATGAGTGCCCAGTTTGATATTCACATAGCTTCAAGGTCTAAACGCTCCTCAAATGAACCTCTTAACAATATTGTCTTTGGAGCTGAGGTGGGGTTTGCCGGGAGGACCGGCGATTTTATTTTTTATTTTCCCTTGGGTGAATTTTCCAGGATTAAGGTATCTGAGAGAGTCATTGAAATGAGATGAAAATTATGGAGACGTTTCAAGTCTAAACAGAGACGAGACGAAACATGCCAGGTGACTTTTTCTTATTTACCTAAGTCTTGGTGGTGGGTAGGTTTTACTTAGTAGCTACATTGGTGGAAGGTAGTAAGTACTCGTGTAATAGTCGATGTGTGAGCAAGTGGTGCCAACACCACTAGTTCAAAAAATAAGAACCATAGTCAAGATAAAATGATGTCTTTTTCCTTCTATTGTCAATCGTGTGAAGTCTGCCAAGATTCCTCGTAGTTCTAGTAATTTACATACCTAATTTACAGTAGATTTGAAAAGGTCAAAGTGTTCTCTTCAAGTGAAAATGAAGGCCATGATTGTTAAACGCTAGTCAGTGAATCCCATGTATCCTCCATTTAAGTGTCGATTTAGAAGACATCTGCATGTGTGGTTTTCAGTAGCTAGAACTGCATAATGCATATGGAGGTGGTCCTCTTTAAATAAATTCCCTGAACTGGTTACTTCATCTTTGCAATTAGGACACTCGTATTGTGGAACTCTCTGAGTAAAACTACAGCAGTATGCCATCAAATTCCAAAAGCACAAATCGGGAGGAAACCAATGCATATAATGTTCCACGTTCCACTGTATATCCTGAACCTTGGTGGAATAGTGCTGTTTATAATCCTGTTTCCCCTGGGTTGATGCGGGAAAATGCATCAGATTCATCATCATTGGAACAATCTGTGGATGGCCAATCACAGTCTGATGGTGGAATCAATGAGGAAGATGATGATGCTCCTGAAAAATCGCAAAGTATCGTACCTTTGCATGCAGGTACATCTTCAATTTTTAATGTTGCTAATGATAAAATAATCATGATCATTGATAGAGAGAGACAGTCTGGCTTTTTTACCTTTTGTGAGAAGTACCAAGTAATAGTCCTTTGTTGTCTGCCCAAATTGTATTTGCTTAATCCATTTTTTGAAGAGCAATCTCATTGATAGTACTATACATGTTAAATATGTTGGTGCACATGACAAGCATTTCACTGACCTTTTAACTTTTTTGAAAACATTTTTTTTTGCTAACTGCATCTAGTAAAATATGTTATTGATCTTATTATTACTTTGGTATCACATGGTTTCCAGGTAAGGGAAGTGCCTGAAAATACACTTCCTTGTGGAGTCTTTATGTCTTTTTCTTAGTGATTTATAGCACAAGCAATCAAATATAAGTTGGTTAAAAGATTAAACTCTCCCATAGGAAAACCTATGTTGCTTGGTTGCAAGCAATTGATATGGGTGAAGATATAGAATCGGATTCGTCATTATAGTATTTGAGGGTGATGGATCAGAGTATGGGTACAAGCACCGGGAAACCATTAATAAATGTGTGAGCATAATATAATATAATATAATATAATATGTAACAAATAATAAAAAAAAAATTGATGACGGGTGTTCGGGCCAGCTTTCACACACCAGTTACTCATGACCGTAAATTCATTAATTGTGTAAACCATCCTCTGTTGCATGGAGTCTTCAATTTTCTTTGGCGACCAGTATCATGTTGACACAGTACATCTAGGGAATTTCGTAGCAGATTCAATCAACATTCAGTGGGGGTTCATTGATCAATGAAGGTGAAACAGAGAATGAGAAGAAGAAGAAGAAGAAGAAGAAGAGTTCTGTAGGTTGGCAGGAAGTTTGAAGAAACCGAGTAGGGAGACTAGCATTTCCTTGCTTTTTCCAAAGAAGGATTAAGGAGAAGATGGGTACCTGATTTATAGAAACTATCACATATTATGAAGAACAAAAACCGTTTTTTTCTGCTTCCATCAAGCAAACATAGATTTATGAAGCTACTCCTTTTGAATTTAGACAAAGAGTTCTGTAGGTTGGCAGGAAGTTTGAAGAAACCGAGTAGGGAGACTAGCATTTCCTTGCTTTTTCCAAAGAAGGATTAAGGAGAAGATGGGTACCTGATTTATAGAAACTATCACATATTATGAAGAACAAAAACCGTTTTTTTCTGCTTCCATCAAGCAAACATAGATTTATGAAGCTACTCCTTTTGAATTTAGACAAAGAGTTCTGTAGGTTGGCAGGAAGTTTGAAGAAACCGAGTAGGGAGACTAGCATTTCCTTGCTTTTTCCAAAGAAGGATTAAGGAGAAGATGGGTACCTGATTTATAGAAACTATCACATATTATGAAGAACAAAAACCGTTTTTTTCTGCTTCCATCAAGCAAACATAGATTTATGAAGCTACTCCTTTTGAATTTAGACAAAGAGTTCTGTAGGTTGGCAGGAAGTTTGAAGAAACCGAGTAGGGAGACTAGCATTTCCTTGCTTTTTCCTGGTGGGAGTAACGAATAACTGTGAAGGGTGGATGTTAGGGGTTTCTAGCTAGTTGCAGATGGATTGAGCATCTAAAATGTGATGGAACACCTTATTTATTTGATAGGGTCATAAGTAAGTGTAAGCCACATGTAGAGTTCCTTTTTTGTTATAGCAAGATCTAGAAGAACAAAAGAATCTGCCAGTTTTTTACCACAATTTTTTTTTTTTTTGATAACCGAGAAATCCGTCTATGACCCGCCCTTTGGACCAATCACAGCCTTCTAAACTCGGTGGATGATGGGCCCGCCCCTCTACCCTTCTCCACTTAAATACCGGGCTTTGCTTTGCATAGTGTGGGGCTTGAACCTGCGACCTAAGCCACAAATCCTCCACCTTTTACCACAACTTAAAACTAAAGCTTATTTGACATACTAATAAAAATGTGTGTGAGCAAAATAAAAATAAAAATTGAAAACTGAGTTAGTGTGGCCCTTTGGATCCCCTCCAGTATAAATGGGTTCTAACAAAAAAATAATTGAAACTGGGTTACTATAGCCCCTTGGATCCCCTCCGGTAATGATCAATGGAATCTTTGATTTAGGACACGTGTCTATCTATAAATTATAGGCTTACGTTGCAATTCCATATTCCACCGTCATCAATTTCCGAATCCTGTTTTTCTTTTACTAAATATGTCATTCCGTCTCTCTAAAAGTGCAGGTTTTACTGCAATTCCAGTACCATTGCTTACCTCCAATTTCTATTTATATTATTTCGCTGCGATTTCAGAAAAGTTTTGTTCTTTCTTCCCTAGAATTTCACTGCCCTAAACCCATTTGCAACTGAGTCCTCTTTCTTATCATACCAGCTTCAACTTCATTGCGCAAAAGCAATTTTTGTATGTATGTGGATAGTGAGATGCTAAGGATTTGGTTTGATCTTTCATCTATTTTATAGATGTTTTTTTTTTTTAAATTGAAAAAAAAAAGCTTTGGAAGGTGAGGTAGCCTCTGCGGCTCTGCCACTGAAACCAAATTCCGGCAGCCAGATATAGTGAGACTCCGTCGTTATGTTCATTGGGAAAACTTAAGACTAGAAGAGAATTGTACATAAAGATGAATGTAAATTAATGTTGGGAAGTGGGTGATAATGAGAGAGAATAAAAAAGAGGATTACAATCCAAACCTTTAATTTGTAGACAGAAAAATGTTATTAATCAAAGACTGCATTGATCTTTACTGGAGGGGATCCCAACCCTATAACTTGTTTTTTTTTATGCATATATGGTATTGTATGTCTATACCATATTTACACATTTTTCATGCTGTACTGAAACTCCTATCAATGTTACTGAATCCTAAAATTTCTGAGATGAAGAAAAAAATGCACCCTGCATAGTTCAAACTTGTAGAGAAAGGTTACTTTTTATCCACTTACATTAGGTGCGCAACTAATTCCTTAATGTATGGATTATGTGACTGGGACTGATGAGATCTATTTTCAAGATCAGATGGGAGTTATGGGAAAGCGGATCAGAATTTTCAGCCAGCTGCTCCAGCCATACCTCCAAGACTTGATGGAAGCCTAGCACAGCCCCAGCAGCTTGAACTTGTTGGGCACTCTATTGTATGTTTGACCATTTTTATGGGTTTTGAGATCTGTTACAATTATGATTTTTGGTGAGTTACTTCATTGATAATGTCTTAGGACTCATGTGGAAGTGATTCTGTTTGATTGGCTACCAGGCTTGTGCTCCAAACCCATATGTTGATCCATACTATGGCGGGATGATGACAGCCTTTGGCCAGCCTTTGGTATACACGTATTTAATTATTTTAAGTCAAATTTTCATTCTTTGATTTGTGTATTAAAATCTTTTATCTAAGCTCTTAAAAGAGAGAGGTTACCTCATGTTTCGTTCAATAATGTTGATCGTGCTGCTAATGTGTGTGACTTTAGTATAATATCTTTCTGGACCAAAACACATCAGTGCTTGAAAAGTGTGAAATCAGATTTGTCTTGGTCCTCTCTTGAGCCTCTACTAGCTTCTTGCCACTTAAGTGATGCTTTAGAAACACTCACCTTCTTGACACTACTTGCTTCCAGGAGCTTGTAATATATTTTGAAGTATATTACTTTCACCATTATTGTTCAGGAAGACTGGGATGACCTATTTCTTCTGGAAGTTTTTTGGTCCAAAGTTGTATATCACCTTAATGGTGCTACGGATGCACAATTCCAGCACAATTATTGGATATTGTGGACACCGTCATTTGAGTGGCTTCAATTAAAGTTACAACCAGAGCAATTGAGATAGATTTACCCAAGTTCAATATCATAATATAAGAAATCTAAGAATTTCTAGTGGCATTAGCTGCCGGAAATGGTTTAATAAAGGGAGCTTGTGCTATTGGGCAGAAGGGGAATCTAAAAAAGAAGAGAGAACGTTTACAACTCATTGCTAGTAAAAAGGGAGTTTGGATCTCTTGGTTTTTGGGTGGGAAGGTTTTGATACCATATTTAAGTCAACAACTTGGTCAACTATAATCTATATAGCACTTCTTTACAGGACTACAGTTCATCCTAATTAATAGACGTGAAATTTCATATGAAAATCATTGTTATAAATGGCCCCCTCTCGTTTTCAGTATAGAAACCTGAATCTCATTGGAACTAGAGGCCTCTAGCTTGATCCTTGCGAAACAATTGGTCCATATTAAGCATTCTGTACAAAAAAGCTCTAGTGTGCATTATGACCTGTTTTTACATTGCTCAACATATTGAGGCTTGCAAAATGAATTCTCCAATATTCCTTCTGCTCCATGTTTATTAAAAGAACAAAATAGAACATATAAAAACAACTGAAACATGATATGGAAAGATATCATGATGTCAGTTGTGCTAAGGTATTATCTGGTTGGTGGGGAAACTCAACATGCTCATTAGCCAGATTATTTAGTCTTAGCTCTAATCTATGGTGAGATTTTCTTTAGAAGTCCTTACCAGCTGTTGCACTATTCAGGTTCCTCCTCATGTACTTGATATGCACTATGCAAGGATGCCCTTGCCACAAGAAATGGCTCAAGAACCAGTTTATGTAAATGCTAAGCAGTATCGAAGGATCCTGCAGCGAAGACAGTCACGTGCTAAAGCAGAACTTGAAAAGAAGCAGATAAAGGGTAGAAAGGTTAGTTTGTGCCCTCTCATGGGGTCACTCTTTCAATCTTCTTCTCCTCATTGTCCGTAATTCGTTTGCCACCTTTTTACGAGAACTTACTACATGAAATCAGTCTTCTGGAGATATATGGAACTTTGGCCAAGTGCTTGTACCTATTCCAATTGGTGCTGAGGCAGATTTATCTTATGCCTGAATGGATTTCCATATTATCTGACTGGTTGGGCAGTGGGCTTGTAAGGGAACTCTGCATTATGAAGAATTTTATATTTTAGCAGAGGGGGGTGTAAGAACTGATGATTTTCTCTACTTCAAGCAAAATAAATAGTGTATAGCAGTTAGTGCCCCTTAATCCAACCCACTACACCTTATTGCACTGGTTTTTTAAAATAATAATATAAAATCTAATATGCAATACTTTTGCTCACTATTGGCTGTCGTTCCCCTCCACTTTCTTATTCCAGCTCTTGCATGAGTTTTAGTTCATTGCAGGGAAGTCTTGTCCCATTAGTTTCGCACAAATACTTTTACTTGTATCCCTTGCTATAACTATCAGGAAGTCAGAAGATTGGGAGGAATGGAGGCACAACATTCAGGCTTGATATTTGTTATTTTAGTAGGTCCCTCATGTCGTATATAATGTGATACCATTAGTAGTCATTTCTGAAGTTTGATGATCTGCTGTATTTTCAAAGTTTTTGACACACCCTCCTTTCCTTGTGTTACAGCCATATCTTCACGAGTCTCGACATCAGCATGCACTGAGGAGGGTAAGGGCCTCAGGAGGACGTTTTGCCAAAAAGACAGATGCTTCTAAGGGTACTGGTTCTGTGAGTTCATCGGGTTCTGAACCTTTGCAGTTCAATGCTGCTGATATTCAAAAGAGGCATGAAAATGGAAGGTTGGCCGAGCTTCAGCAGTCTTATTCGAATGGTAGCAGTTATGGCAATCAAAGTACCTTTCAAGAATCGAAAGATGAGTACCAGTCTGCTGAAAGCAGGGAAGGAGTTTTTTCTGGCAAGTAATTGGAGATACGTTCATGTCTAAACTAGCTCTTGCACTGCAACGAAGCTCGAGTATGTACAAGAGAGTTTACAGGTATTGTTTCATTTCTTGGCTTTTAAAGCTGGGCGGCAATTCATTCTTGGCTTTTTACTTTAGTGTTAAAGGGAGCAATAGAGGCGACGAGCATAGCAGTATTGCAGCATTTGCTTGGAGACTTGCATCTTCCCTTTTGTACAGAGATGGATGAACTTAGAACTAGGATTAGAAGTTGTTCAGTAAGTTTATGGTTGTCCGGTTACCATAGTTTTAGTTTAGGAGACCATGTAAAGAGGTTATTAGTTTTGCATACTTGTCTTATTTCCTTTCCTAATGGTTGCATTAATTTCTGAGTTTGGTTTGTTTTGATGTGATTTGATATGTTATCAAAGATACAGTAGGATGAAATGACATATTTGAGGTTAAAGTGTGCAAATAGGTTCAGTTAGTCCATATGATAACAGTGAAGGTCAATGGTATTGTACAGAACTAAGAATACAGCTTTGAGCACATCCCGCTTCTTTGTCCTCCTTTCGTCTTCTAACCCAATGACCATAACATTGAGCCCCCGACGTGATATTAAGGTGTGCTCAAGCGCGTCCCTCTTTATGAATAATCGTTGAAGAGCTTGTAGGTCTCGAGCTTGGCTCCTTCTGAAAGGTCTTAATGCAACTTGGTTTGCATCATTAGGGTCAAGTTGGGCTACAACCTATTATTTATCTTGTTTTGATCAAGTCCATCTTGATCCAAATGAACTTTGGACAAGGTTTGGGCATTAATTCATTTATTTGTTCAACCCATCTTAACCCGTCAAGTAGGGATGGCAATGGGGCGGGGTAGTGTGGGTTAAAGCCTTAGTTTTTTTTAAAAATTATGCAGGTACGGGCTCCTCCCTTGTGTTCTACTGGGAAAAAACATACCCGCACCGGGTGTATACACCCGGTGCGGTTAAGTTTTACCCTTTCTACTGCTTTTTATTAAATATCTGTAGTATTACTAGCTACCTTATTAACTGTATATTAAAGAAAATCTTTTTAAGCCAAAAAAAAAGGTACAAAACTTAAGAGCCTGTTTGTTAGTTGATTGAAAGTATCCATCAAGTGATCAAGGGTGTGTTTAGCAATATTCTAAAAAAAAAATTCATGTTCAGTTGGTCATAAATTTATTAAGTTACCTTATTAGTCGAAGTAGAGAAAATAAATTTCATAAATAGTTAAATTTCATAAATAGTATTCCACGTTGATTGTATCCTTTAACCCTCTAACCTTCCAACACACCTCTTCTTCGCCACTCCCATAACTGTCATCCTCATCATCCCACACCCTACTACATCCCTTTTTTGTACTGACCTAAAAAAAAAATAACGAATTTGTTTATTTTTTTAGAAAATATTTTTCGATTTTTTTTTCATACCAAACACAAGCTGAATATCAAATGATGAATAACATTGGTATTTGAAATTGATTTTACAATTAAAGCATTTACGTGTTTGCAGACACATTTTTTGGAATCGATAATATTGTGGACAACTGTTGTTTGACGGAGGGAGTGTTACTCCCTTTGTTTCTTTTTATATCACCTTTTTTAGATTTCACTTGCATTAAGAAATTAAGTTGGTTTACAATTCTATTCTTATTAAATGTTTTTTTAACTTTTCAATAAATGATAAATAAATCATCTTTTATTTTTAATTTGTTTGTTGTGATTTCTTTTTCAAATCAGATTTTATAGAGTAATGCAATGGTAAGAGTAATTAATCAATGTGTGAACTAATTACAGTGAACATTATTTACTTATTAGTTTTCCTAGGTTGATGAAATACTATTTATTTTCAAGATTAATTAACTATCAAGGGTATAATAGGAAGAATATTGTAACTTATGCATTGATTTTATGAAATGACAAGTATTATGGACCAATTATTTATAGTAATGATGACATATAAAAAAGAACTGAGAGAGTATGTACCAACTATTTATAATAGGGTAAACTACATAAATCCCACTAGTTTAGGTCCTAATTACTTAGATTCCCCATAGTTTTAAATATTACTTCCTCTACCATATTTCATACTTAGGATACATGAGTTTGAATTCGTGAGATACATGTATTTGTCGAATTTTAAAATTGAAATACGTATTTTATTTATTTAAATTAATTGGTTGTAACTGATTTCCTTAATATAAGGCGGAAATCAAGGAGTGTATTTATGTTTAATTAATTTCATTTTATTATTATTTGAAATAATAAATTCGTTAATACTATTAATAAAAGACAAAAAAACATGTATATCTCGGTCATGCAATTTGATTAATTTCATTTTATTACTCTTAAAATAATAAAATTCATTAATTTGATTTATCTATTATCAATATATGATGTATCCAACAAACAAAATACTTGGATACATGAGTATCATACAAGTACATTCATATGCATCATATAAGTATCTAATATTAATTTTGTGTATTTGTTATATGTGTCTAGTATGAATTTCATGTATCTATTTATATGATATAATATTAATTTTATGTATCTATTTATATGATCTAATTTTAATTTCATGTATCTTTTATATGTATCTATTATTAATTCGATGTATCAAGTATCAATTTCATACATTATATTCAAAATCATGTATCTAAGATACATAGTAAACACACATATAATTATGTGTGTCTAATTATGAAATGTAATTGAAACACACGAATTTAGGAACAAATCACGACGGTGGAGTATTTATTTTATCATTAATCCAAAAAAAAATCAAAATTTTCCCTTTCTTTAAGGATTTGAATTTTTTTCTCATAGATACATATAATCTTAACTCAGATACATGAACTCTTAACTAGATACATGTACACCTGATGTGTATCCAACATTGTTGCACTTGATGTGCATGGTATATTTTTTCTATTAATTAAAGCTTGGCGTAATTCTTTCATCTTGATTGGGTCGTTCCTATACTTAGATCTATTCTCGACTTGAATGTTGGCGTATGAAGAGTCAGTCCCTGCAATGAGAAATTCATGAGTGAAATGAACAAATAAATGTTGTTTGATTTAGTATAATATTGTTAATGTATAGTACATTTAACGAGAATCATCCGATTTTGAGAATGTTCAACCATTAAAGTGTTTGAGAAACAACAAATTTAAAAATATAAAACCTAATTTATAAAAAATTTAACAAATCCCCACTGTATCTGACAAATATTCATCATGATATGTAAATCCCCATATCAGAAAATGTTTAAAAAATCACAATATACACGGAAAAACCAAAAAGTTTACATGTCCTAAACCATGAATCTTTGATAAGCATAACAATATATTAAAAATTGAAGTAGAAAAAAATGTACCCATACCTGTATCTGGTTAGCTTCCATTGCGTCTTGTTGAACTTAAGAGTCGGATCCTACAACCATTACAAAATGGTTATGAAAAGAAACATATAAAAATATCTTTATCATAAATTTATTGTTCATTAACAATCCCTTAACAAGATTTATACCATTTTTTGAATTATGAGCCATTAAAATGGAATGGAGAAATAACAAATTAAACTCAAACAATGCAAAAGGTGTATTCATGAACTGCTAAGGAAGGAGGGGTAATGAGGGATACGTGTGGGAGTGGGGAAGAAGGGGTGAGGGTGGGATAGTGTGAATAGGATACAAACGTTTTGGGATTGGGGAGTGAAGTGGCTGAACTGAAGAGAGATAAAATAATTTGAATTATTAATGTCCCACTAATCAAGGAGATGTAATTTTAAGATAATTATTTACTATTATTTTTTAAGGAATTGTGTATCTGATTTAATTTTCTAAAATATATGGTATATTTATTAAAAAATGGTACTCTATGTAATATTTTTAAAGTAGAGATAAAATATGTATATATGATAATATAGTATGTCTATATAGGTAGTATTTCCTTTATAATAAGGATAACATATAAAAAGGAATCGAGGGAGTAATTTGTTTTGAAATGATATTTCCGAGGACAGTAAATGACTTGGTCAAACTGAAAGGGCTTCTAAAATAAAATTGGCTTTTAAGTTTTATTTTACACGGTTGTTAAGAAATCATTAATAGATTGATCAACTTTACTATTTTGCCTTTTGTTCATATTAATTAGCCTCTTAAAAAGAAAATTTGGATTTTCAAAATCTGTTTAAACTTCCAAAGCCATATTAATTGTAGGGATAAAATAAAAATAAATTACTTCCTCTGTCCAACAATAGTTGTCTACTATTGACTTGACACACTCCTTAAGACACAAAATGGTAAAAAAAATTTAATTTATTATATTTATGTAAGTTTCTCATAAATAATAGGGGTCAGTGGCGTACGCAAATTTTTTTGTAAGTGGTGTCGATATTTAATAATAAATAAATAAATGAATAATTGATATAACAACATTGTATTAATAAAAATTGTTTAAAGCGTATTAACAACTCTCCTAATTTAACTAGGAATTGTGAAAGTTAGAGGTTCGAATTTCATCAATATCAATTTTTGTACAAAATTTTACCCTTAATGAGGTTCGAACCCGGCTCCCGACTCCTTCAGGGAATAATAGCGTTCCAGCCGCGCACCAAAACTAATAAGCTAAGGCAGCACAAAGTGTCATTTATTTGATTATTATTTTTTTACAGATTTTTATATATATAATATTAGGAATTTTCAACGAAGCAGTGTTGGATGACACCCCTTGATATAGGGTGGGTCCCCATGATAGGGGTAATATTACTATATTATCTTTTGACTTTATTAAATTTAATGTTTTGAGAAATGTGTTAGATGATAAAATAGTAGTATTTAATAGCAAGGGTAAAATAGACGCAAAAAATAAATTATCTCTTGATTTTTTAAATTGGACAAGTATTGTTGGACAACTATTTTTAGTATAGTGGACAATTATTATTGAACGGAGAAAGTAATTAATTCTATCAAAATTTAGTAAGTGATCAAATAATAATATTTCTAATAAGATTCCCATTTAATATGGGACGGAGATAATACTAGTAGCAAGTGTTTTTGTTATTAACCAAATGCATATAAGCCTAGAAGGACCTTTCAAGATCTACAAATTTAGGGCAATGTCCGTTGTGTATTTATTTTCATTCAACTAGCAGCAACAATCTTTATCACACGTAAAACAGTTTCCCTTGTGCACAAGAATAATAACATACTCTTCTTTTCGAATTTTGAAATTCAAACAAATATTTTTTACTATTTATAATATAAACTGTGTACATATTGGAACTATCCTCTAAAGCAGACACTCCAATAATTACATGAAACTAATAATATCTATCTATTAAAAAAAAGTCTACATTCTATTACTACATGAAATTAATCCTATCTATATACATTAAGAAAAGTCTCAAAATGTTCTATCACTTTTACATATCTACAAATAGTTCCTTTGG